TGACCTTCCTCGGTACTCGATCAAAAGCCTTTTCTAGATCCACAAAACACATGTACAATCTTCGTTTCTTCTTTCTATAATTCTCCTGCAACATTCTCGCCATGAACAACGCATCCACCGTTCCCCTACCAGGCATAAACCCACACTGCATTTCATTAACTGTCACCATACTTCTCAACCTCCTCTCAAGCACCCTCTCCACTACCTTCATTCCGTGCTCTAGTAATTTCACACCCCTGTATGACCCACAATCTCTCACATCTCCTTTGCCCTTATACAACGGCACCAACACACTGTGTCGCCAATCCTCAGGTATACCTTCATCATCAAACATACTGTTAGCAATTCTCATCATAACTTCAATTCCTATCGGTGGTAGGAAAAAACATCACCCGGATAAAAGTTCACCTGCTAAAAATGCAGAGAAAAAACATCACCCGGATAAAAAATCACCCGGATAAAAAATCACCCGGATAAAAAATCACCCGGATAAAACATCACCCGGATAAAACATCACCTGAATAATACATGACAAAATTTAATATAAAATATAAAACTTTTACAATCGATGACAAGCGTCTCCAATTTATATTCTATTTAAAAATTTAAAAACTTTTTTTAAATAGAATTATTTGCTGCGCACAATAATTTGGTGCACTAATTACCGCCTTGACGTCGTTTGATTGGCTGTAGGATTTGTCTGCTTTTGTTAAAATAGTCTCAAAAATTTGTTTGGTTTTGCAGCAAATGTAGAACTTTGCTATTGAATTTCCCATTGAATTTGTTTAATTTAGACAAGTTTGATGAGTGGGTATTGTAGACATTTCAATAAGCTATCAGATAAATATCATAACTCATTTTTGGCAAAAAAAATGTGTCTGGTTTTGTAATATAGCTCCTCATTTATACTAATTTAACTGTTATCATGGAATTTATTAGAAACAACAAAGGTGGTTTGCAACTTTGCTATAATGGGTACGCCTTCAACAAAAAAAATAACAAAAAAACAACAGTAAGATGGCTATGCAGCAAACATAGTTCATTGAAATGCAATGGATCGGTTGTCACAAACTTAGAAGTGAGTAAATCTTTATTTTATTTAAATTGTAAAAATTACAAATATAAGTTAATTAAACTTAGTAATTAACAATATTAACTACCTTTATTTCAATAAATGTTTTCATATTTTTCTATGTTACAAGATAATAAAGACCTCATAAATAAATGTATTTTATGGTGTTGTTTGTAATGCGTTTTTATCAATATTGTTCTGTTTTGTAGATGAATGCAGTATTAAGTGTCACACCTCATACACATCCATCGAGTGAATCAGAAATGAAAAACTCAAAGTAATCAACAGGAGA